AAAAACGTGAACATCACATTCTTGAATGGCACATGACTTCATTCATGATAACTTGTATTGTGATTACAGGAATAAAATCTCAGCTTCATCTGAATGAGAAGATTACATATTTGTAACCTTATTAGAGTTTGGAAATTGAAATGTGAGAGGAGTGAAATCAGTAAGATCTATAATAGAAAACATTTTACTGAATGCGGTGTAACTGGCTCATGTCACCCCAGCCTCTCATTTCTTGCCATTTCATCCTCAGACTCTGAAACATACAGCAAGATCAGTGAGAATAAAATGAAGCTATGATCTTTTTCTTCAGCTACCCAAATTATATTTAACTTGTTCATTTCACCTTACCAAGTTCAAAGTAAAATTTATGAAGCCCAGCCAGTTACATCTTTGCCTCTCTTATTTATAGGAATGTCTTAAGTTTCATTCAAATAATCAATAAGCATTTATTGACCACTTTATCTGGTTACTTACCCGGCACTGGGTTATGTACTGGTGATCCAAGATGAAAGAGAGATTTCATACCAACCAGCACCTTAACCAAGGATGGAAATGAACACATTAGAGATCAAGGAGAAAGATCATAAACAAACTGCAGCAATAGTTCTCCAAACTTTTAGCGCTAAAAATGCATCTATTTACAGTTTGTAAAAACTTTTCAATCAAGTTGTCTGGCCTCTGAATAATATTATTGTGACTAAGTGCAATGAAATACAAGATTATGCAAGGGCTCATTACAGGGCTGATGGCAAAGGTAATGGGAAGGTTGGATTTCCATATCTTCTCTTTTACTTATCCCAAAAATCTTGCTAATATCTATAAGACATCTCTTTTCCTGCCATGCCTTTCCTCATTTAAAATACTTTATTTCTTGTACTACTGTGGTTTTGCATCCTTTATACAAATTATCCCTTGATAAAATTAATAATCTTGAGCCTTAAACAAATTAATCCACTTACAGTTCAACTAGGATGCTCCATTTTTTTTAAACCATCCATAGCATGGTAACAAATAGTTCATCCTGTTTTTATTTGTGTATATGAATGATGATGCCTTCATTGCTTTCCAGGTAGCATGAATAAAATGAATCAGAAAAAGCAGATTCCATTATTTGTCTCACCTTATTTTTCTCTCCTCTCAGAAAGCTATTCTAGTTTTTCAATCTTAATTCTTTGCAAAAAAAAAAAAAAGCTGATCTTAAAATTCATATGGATATTCAAGGGACCTAAAGTAGCCAAAAATCTTGAAATCAATAGAAAAAAATGGAAGTCTCAAAATTCCCAGTTTTAAAATTTACTACAAAGCTACGTGGATTAAGGCTGACATGGGAATAAACATATAAATAAATGGAATAATATTGATAGTCCATCTATAAACTGTCATCTTTAGTATGAATTGCTTTTTTATAAAAGTATCAAGATAATTAAATAGAAAAGATAGTGTTCTCACCAAAAGGTGTCAGACAATTGGCTATCCACATGAAAATGAAAATTTTTGGACCCCAGACCTTCCTCCACCTATAAAAATTAACTCAGAATAAAATTCTGAAGGTAGGGCCGGAGATTTAGCTCAGTGGTTTCGCTGCCTGCCTTGCAAAAAAGGACCCGAGTTCAATCCCCGGTACCAAAAAACAA